AGAGTCTTGGAAATACTGTGGGCCAGTTCTGCTCTCCCCTGTAGGGTCACTTTGTGTCAGAATTGACTCATTATTACAAGTTACAAGGTTTAGAGAAGGTACGCAATCTGCCCAAGATTATACCTCTAGTCAGAGAGGGAACCAATATTCACAACTTCCTCTGGCTAGCTCCAAAATCTACACCTATTCTAGTATATGGCACAAAGATGGTGTATTGATAGAAGACATGAGAGATGTGACAAACTTAAAATAAAATAATTCAATGAGAAAGAAAAGAAGGGAGAAAATGAGGATAGAATGTTCTGGAAGAGAAATAAAAGTAAAATTGAAGAAAAGCTAATTGAAAGTTATAGTGAACTTCTTTTTATTCTTCCTGAAGACTTGTCCCAAAGTAAGCAAGCCAGGTAGTGTTCTCTGTGATCCATAAAGTTTTCATTGACTAAGTGCTTGATCAGTTGGGCAACTCATAAACACGGTCAACAGTTCAAATCTACCAGTCACTCTTCAGGAGAAAGATGAGGCTTTCTGCTCCCGTAGAGATCTATAGCTTCGGAAGCCCTATAGAGGGTCACTATGAGTAGGAACCCGTTTGGTGGCACACAACTGCCAAACCACCACCATATGTGTAATTATAATTTATTTCCTATGCGATATATGTTGCTGTTATTAAGAACCATCAAGTGGGTTCCAACTCATAGCAACTCTGTAAAGGGTTTCTGAGGAGCGGCTGATGGGTTTGAACTACCGACCTTGCTTAGTCCACAGCGCTACACTTTCCTGGCACTGAAATTCTGGTGGCATAGCTCCAGTATGACAGTAACTTGCGAACTACCATAGTATGCCAGTGACAGATGAGTGGTGGGCATCTGTTCTAGTATCTCATCATTTTGGTTATAGAAACACTGTAGAATCAATCACTTTGGCATGCCTTTTGAACTCCAATAGTGTTAAGTTAACCAGAAACCACCCCCACATATTTTCTATATTCATACACATTACAAATCCATCATTCTCCAAATTGCTGCATCCTTTTGTACTGGGTATTGTTGTTAAGTTCTGTGGAATCGATTCGGATTCAAAGAAACCTTGTATCGGGATTCCAGGGAGCAGCTGGTGGGTTTGAAAAACCGACCTTGTGGTTCACAGTCCAGTGCCACACCAGCACCACTTCTTGGTAGATGTTGTCAAGTTGGTTCTGACTCACAGCGACCCTATGCACAACAGAACGAAACACACTGCCCAGTCATCCACCATCCTCACAACTATTGCTACGCTTGAGTCCATCGTTGCTGCCTTTGCGCTAATCCATTTCGTTGGGGGTCTTCCTTTCCTTCCTTGACACTCTACTTTGCCAAGCATGATGTTCTTCTCTAAGGACTGGTCCCTCTGATTGTTGTTAGGTGCCATTGAGTCGGTACCAACCCATAGTGACCTTGTGTACAGCAGAACGAAACACTGCCTGATCCTGAACCCATCTCTCTACTGTTGCCACGCTTGAGTCCATCGATGCTGTCACTTGGCCAATCCATCTCGCTGGGGGTCTTCCTTTTTTTCTCTGACCCTCCACCTTACCAAACATGATATCCTTCTCCAGGGACTGGTCCCTCCTGACAATATGTCTGAAGTATGAGAGATGAAGTTTGGCCGTCCTGGCCTCCAAAGAGCATTCTGGCAGCACTTATTCCAACACAGATCTGTTGGTTCTTTTGGCAGCCCATGGCACTTTCCATATTCTCCTCCAACACCATAATTCAAAAGCATCAATTCTTCTACGGTCTTCCTTATTCACTCTCCAGCTTTCCCATGCATTTGAGGTTATTGAAAACACCATGGCTTGGGTCAGGTGCACCTTAGTGCTCACGCTGACATCTTTGCTCTTCAACACTTTATAAAGGTCTTGCACAGAAGATTTGCCTAATGCAATTCACCATTTGATTTCTGGACTGCTACTTCCATGAGTGTTGACAGTTAATCCAAAAAGAATGAAGTCCTTGACAACTTCAATCTGTTCTCCATTGATAAGAATGTTTTTTATTGGTCCAGAGTGAGGATTTTTGTTTTCTATACGTTGAGATGTAATCCACATTGAAAGCTGTGCTCTTTGATTTTCATCAGTAAATGTTTTAAGTCCTCTTCACTTTCAGCAAGCAAGATTGTATCATCTGCATATCACAGGTTGTTAATGAGTCTTCCTCCAATCCTGATGCCACATTTTTCTTCATATAACCCAGCTTTTCAGATGATTTGCTCAGATTGAATTAGTATGGAGAAAGAATACAACCTTGTCGCACACCTTTCTTAATTTTAAAACTTTTAGTGTTCCCATGTTCTGTTTGAACAACTGCCTCTTGGTCCACGTACAGATTCTTCATGAGCACAATTAAGTGTTCCGGAATACTCATACTTCGCAGTGTTGTTCATAGCTTGTCATGATCCACACAATCGAAAGCCTTTGCGTAGTCAATAAAGCACAGGTAAACATCTTTCTGATATTCTCTGCTTTCAGCCATGATCCATTGGACATCAGCAATGATATCCCTCGTTCCATGGCCTCTTCTGAATCTGGCTTGAACCTCTGGAAATTCTCTGTCAATGTATGATTATAGCCATTTCTGTATTACCTTTAGTAAAACTTTACTCCCATGGGATATCAAAGAAATTATCCGATGATTTCTGCATTTCATTGGGTCACCTCTCTTTGGAATGGGCACAAATCTGGATCTCTTCCAATCAGTCGGCCAGATAGTTGTCTTCCAAATTTCTTGGCAGAGATGAGTGAGTGCCTCCTGTGCCGCCTCACTTTCTTGAAAGATTTCAATTTTTATTCCATTAATTCTTGGTGACTTGTTCTTTGCCAATTCCTTCAATGAACTTTGGAATTCCTCTCTCTGATAATATGTCCAAAATATGAGAGAAAAAGTCCCACTATCCTGGCTTCTAAGGAGCATTCTGGCTGTATTTCTTCTAATACAGATTTGTTTTTTGTTCTGGCATTCCATGGTACTTTCAATATTCTCCAGTACCATAACTCAAATGCATCAGTTCTTCTATGGTCTTCCTTATTCATTGCCCACGTTTAACATGCATATGAAAATACCATGTCTTGGGTCAGGCACACCTTAATCCTTGAACTGACATCCTTGCTCTTGAACACTTTGAAGAGGTCTTGTGTCACCGTATGCCATTTGATTTCTTGACCACTACTTCTAAGAGTGTTGATAGTGGATCCATGTAAAATGAAGTCTTTAACAACTTCACTCTTTTCTCCATTTATCATGATGTTATTTACTGGCCGAATGATGAGAATTTTTGTTTTCTATACATTGAAGTACAACCCACACTGAAGAGTGTGGCTTTTGATCTTCATCTTAAATATTTTCAGTCCTCTTCACTTTTAGCAGCAAGCAAAGTTGTATCATCTGTAATGAATCTTCCATCAGTTCTGATGCCAGCTTCTTGGATTATTTGTTCAGCATGCAGATTGAATAAATATGGTGAAAGAATACAGCCCTTGCATACACCTTTCCTGATTTTAAACCATTCAGTGTCTCCTTGCTCTGTTTGATGGTCTATGTATATTTTGGTCTATGTATATGTATATGGTCTATGTATATTTCCCTCAGGAGCACAATTGAGTGTTCTAGAATACCTATACTTTGCATAATCAAGTAAGCACAGGTAAATATCTTCCTGGTATTCTCTGCTTTCAGTCAAGATCCATCTGACATCAACAATGATTCCTCCTAAGTTTCACATCCTTATTTAAATCTGGCTTGAACCTTTGGCAGTTCTCCATGTACGGTTACAGCCACTTTTGAGTTATCTTTAGCAAAATTTTACTTGCATGTGATATTAACGATGTTTTCAGAGGATCTCTATATTCCGTTGGGTCACTTCTCTCAGGAGTGGGCACAAATATGGATCTCTTCCAATTAGGTGTCCAGGTAGCTGTCTTTCAGATTTCTTGACATATGTGAGTGAGTACCTCCAGTGTTGTATCAGTTTGTTGAAAGATTTCAATTTGTATTCCATCAATTCTCGCCGCTTAGAAAAGGTTAATAATTAGTTAAGTGCCCATTCTCCTGTACACTTGTCCCTTTGGGCCAGCAGGGGGCGGATGAGTTCCTGTACACCATCCGGAGGAGCCCCTGGGCGTGGCTTCTGCATTCTTAAATGACAGCTGAGGATGCGGACAAGGATGAGGTAATACCAGCGGGAGCTAGGGGGCGTCCGGGTGTACGCTTGTGTGTGAGACAGCGTGAGCTCCGACCAGGCACACTGCGTGTGTAGGAGCTCGCGGGGTGGACAATGATCACGGGGCTACATTAAAAAGGAAAAAAAAAAAAATGAAAGAAGCAAAATCCCATTTCTGGGAGGGAGCTGTGTAATTGGGCGCTGCTACGTTAATAAAAGGAAAATCCCATCTGGGGGCGGGAGCTGTAAAATTGCAGCCGGGCGGCAACACAGTCCCTCGGCCGCAGCATGGCAGGTGGTTCCTCAGCAGCAGGGGACGGGGGATCCCCCAGCGCGTGTGGGTTAGCGTGAGCGCCCCGCCTGGGAGGGCCTGCCTATCCTGGAAGCAACTGAGCGGAGCCACAGGGAGGGGGAGCTCTTGTCCAGGCGGCGACGGCCTTAGGAGCAGCCGAGGGGTGGGGAGGGAGGGGAGCGAAGGGAGGGGACGGAGCGTGCCACTCCGAGCGCGGCTGTGCGGTGGATCCCACCCCGGCGTCTGCAGAGCTCGAGGCGCAACTGGTGCGAGGGCTGGTCCCCGCCCGCCGGCACTCAGCCCGCACCCGCCGGGGGCTTGGCACGGTGGGGCCCGTTTGCCGCGAGCCGGACATTTGCATGAAGCGCCGCGACCTCTCGAGGCAGCGGCGGCAGCGGCGGACTTGGGCGGCGGCTGCCGGGCACCGGTGGATGCGAGGCAGCGGTGCCGATGGGCCGGAGCTGAGGCTGCCCGGGGCAGCAGGGCGCTGGGCGGGGGGCGTGATTGAGGCCCGCGGGCGGCGGCGCAGGAGGAGGCGGAGGAGGGCGGGCGCGCAGGGCCCGGGAGGCGGGCAGCGCTGCACCGCCGCCACCGCCGCCGCAGCCCGGGGCTCGCCATGCTCCTGGCCTCGGCCGTGGTGGTCTGGGAATGGCTGAACGAGCACGGCCGCTGGCGGCCCTACAGCCCGGCCGTAAGCCACCACATCGAGGCGGTGGTGCGCGCCGGACCCCGCGCCGGGGGCAGCGTAGTGCTGGGTCAGGTGGATAGCCGTCTGGCGCCCTACATCATCGACCTGCAGTCCATGAACCAATTCCGCCAGGACACGGGTGAGCTGTCGCCCCTGATCCCCTGCTGCCACCTCCCCTCCCTGTCCCGGATCTCCAACCTACGCGGCCCCGGCCACTCAGTAGGCACCCCGTTGCAATGGGGTTACCATGAGGTGTGTGCGGGGGGGGGGGGCGCTTTGCTCCCCATGGTCCTCTTAAGCCCCCCAAGTGAACGCCCAGCCACATAGTATCCGTGTTAACCTAGCTTCAATCTAGTTCTTCAGAACCTCCTTTCACGCCCCCTTTGCTGCGCTTGCGGGCTCGAAGTCCTAGCTTGTAGACATAGGAGGTCTGTCCCAGTGCACTGGCCATCCCAACCCCTCAAAATGACGCTTACCCCGCACCCCTGCGCCAACCCTGCTTTGCCTGTCATATATGTTCTTACCCTCCCCCCCCCCTTCCCCCTTAATGCGTTTGCCCTTCCCCTGTCGGGTATGGGAAGGAAGAAGGGACCATCTGAAGGTTCTGGCCCTAGATGAGTACGGGAAGGGCTGGCAGGGGCCTCCCCAGAGGAGAGGCTGGCGTTCGCGGGATTCCAGGGAGGGAATACTCTAGATGCTGTGTAAACTGAAGCAACAGGCCAGAGCAGATGGAGAGAGAAGGGGCGTGGGGGAGGCGGGTGGTCAGGAATGCCTGTCGGGGAGCAGCTCCCTTTGTCCATGGAGGAGGCAGATTCCTAAGGAGAAACTGTCCCAGGCTTCCTGGTGAACCCTTGGCCTCTGAGGGAAACACTGCCAGTCTGCAAAGCTCCACTGTCTTTTTATGAGCATCAGGTTACTGGCCACCACAGCTCTGCAGGTCAGGGGGAGGAAGGGAGCCTACAGGGTGGGGGTCAGGGTGGCAGGGGTCACCGGAGAGCAGAGCAGGGCAGAGCAACATCATTTTGTTTGCTTGGCCCAGTGTAGGGAGGCTTCATTGACACCCAGGGACAAGTGTCTTCTGGCTTCCCTGCAGTCTCTTCAGTGAACTAAGGAGGCAGGGTGAGGAGGATTCTAGAATTCTGTCTGAGTCTTCAGCAGAAGTGTGAAACCCCAGAGCCTGGAGAGACAGGTGTGCTGGGATGTCCCTGGAGGTCAGAGAACAGCTGTTTGAGTATCTCAGCCTCTGTTCCCCTCCAAGCCCCCACATCCTGTGTGCTAATTGGGATGGTCATGGGAAAGGGGCATTTTTCCGCCCTTGGTCTCCATCCTGTAGTCATAATTCCCAGCAACCTCTCTGCCAAAGGCCTTGTCAACTCTGGCTGCTTGAATAAGACTCTTGGAAAAGGCTTCCCAGAAGTGGAAGTGTTAGCATCTGGAGGGGCTTAAATCTTGGTGGGAAAGAAAGGGGGCGGGACTGAGGGAGACTGTGAGGGGGAGGGAAGAAGGAGGAATGTGGGGAGATTGAGAAAGAGGATTAAGTGTGGCTGAGGGAGAGAATGTGAATTGTGCAATTTGGATAGAGGTTGGAGGTGAGAGGGTAGAGGCATCAGTTGGGGGAGGGGGTGTGTGTGTGTGTGTGTGTGTGTGTAAGGAAGCTGAGACCAAGGAGAGCAGCAGTTCAGACACCTGACAGGGAATTCCAGTCCTGCTCAAAATAGACCAGCAGGTGTTAGCTTTTCTATTTCAGACTAAATCTCAGCAGCATATGGAGAGCCACCCATGACATCAAGGCCACACTCCCTCTCCACCATTTAGGAAGGATGAAACTTAATCTTTTTAGGGGTACCAAGAAGGTCTAGGTTGCTAACTGCAAGGTTGGTGGTTCAAACCTACCAGTCACTCCTTGGAAACCCTATGCAGGGTCATTATGAGTCGGAACTGACTTCACAGCACTTTACAACAACAATCAGGGTCATGGAGTCCCTGCATAGCACAGTTAAGCACTTGACTGCTATTCTAAAAGTTGGAGGTTTGAGTCCACTCGGAGGTGTCTTTGGATGTTTTTCACATTCTTGTCTTTCTTTGAGATACACTTGGTACATTGTTATGATCAGGTAAGCATCTGCCAGTCAGTAACACATACTGAGCACCATCCCATTCTGTGCCAGGCCCTTTGCTGGGTGTTGAAGGTCCAAGATTGCTTTCCCAGGAATGCTGGGTTTGTTGGGGGAGCTAATGGAGTTTGACTAGGCCCATCTCCCGGGTGGGGCACCGGGCTCTGAGCCCCACCTCCCTTTTTTACCAACACACACTACACTGCTCCTCTCAGCTCATTGATGAGGCTGTGACAGGGGTGGAACTTTAAACCACCAGCTCCCAGGCAACCTCAGCCAAGCCCTGGCAATGTTTAATTAAATTACCCACCGACCTCCAATCCACAATTTAAAGCTGAGAACCAGATCCATCCAGTAAACAAAGGAGAGCTAGAAGTCCCCTGCCTAGAGGACTTTTTGTTACCTTCACTGGCTCTGTGGAGATGTTTCCTGACATGGGAGCTTTGTCTTCTTAGAAGTTCCCGGTCTCCTCTAGGTTCCCGATCTTCTCCTAGGAGATAGCTGGGATGCTGCAGACACTGTCCTCCCACCTCTGTCTGCCCTGGGGTCTCTCTTTCCCTGACCTGCCTCAGGACCCTGGGTCATTTGCATTCCAAGCTGGACACTTGAGGATGCCTTCACCAGCTTTCATCTTTAGTGTCACTTTCCTCTGTATCTTTCAAGACACCTGGTCCCTACCACCGTTAGGGTCCAGCCTCAGATGGTGAAGCCAAGGTTGGAATTGGAGACACGACTCTCCTATCTGGGACTTATTGATTTACCCTGCCACCTTGAACCAGTCCCTTAACTGCTAAGACCTCGTTTTCATCTGTGGAATGAAGAGTAGCCATCTGGCTCTATCTGCCCGTTGTTCAGATCAGCAGATGAATGGGTTTGGCCCTTGTAATAATGATGATGTTAGTAAGCATCTCCTCAGTAAGGGCAGGGTTCTTTCTAGCTTAGCGTTTCTCTATAAGTGTTGTCTTTTGGAGTCCCTGGGGGGTGCAAATGGTTCAGCGCTTGACTACTACTAGCTTACAGGATGATGGTTTAAACCCACCCAATGGTACCTCAGAAGACAGACTTACTTGGTGATCTTCCAAAAGAGCCGTGGAATCCCTTAGAGCAGTTCAAGTCTGCACACATGGGGTCACCATGAGTTAGAATAGACTTGAAGACAACTAACAACAGCATATCTTTAATACATTGAGGTGGGGTCCGATGGAGAGTGAGTCTGCCCGCCCCACCTGCATTACTCCTCCCCACCCCACAAGGACAGGAAGCCTTGTGACCACTAGAGAACTGCAGTATGAATGCACATTGCATACACTCTGCTCTCTTGTTTAATGTTCAAGCGATCTTAGGAAGCACCTATTGTCATTCCCTCTTTGAGAAAAGGATACAAGTTAAAAGAGATGCCACTTAAGGTTTAGCACTTGTTAATGGCTGTGCTGAGGTTCAGAATCAAGTGTCCTAGGCGTGGCTCCTTCACTCTATAAACAGTTATGGAATGCCAATTGTTCAAGTCACATGGGACATAGCAATAACAAAACATCCAAGTCTTACCCTCCTGGAACATTTTAGTGGAGGTAGAGAGGTACCTGGGATTTCCTAGACACTGTGCAAAGTCTAGCAGGAGCGATGCCCCAGAGACCTCAGGTTGTGCCTGGAAGGCATTACTTCTCATTTCCCAGGAACCAAAGCATACTGCACGGAGCCCATGGTGGTGCAGTGGATTAAGCATTGAACTGCTAACCACAAGGGTGGCTGTTCCAACCCACCAGCCATTCAACAGGAGAAAGATGAGCACTTTCCCTTCAAGATTTGAACCCTGTGGAATTCCGCTGTGTCCTTTGTTGTTGCTGTCAGTCACAATCAACCCAACGGCAGTAGGTAAAACACCTTGGATCTGAGTCTCCAGGGAAAACCAGCATCCGTTCTTTTTGTTCCAGTGAACTTCCTCTATCCCTATCCTAACAGAGACTTTCTGGTCACTGCACCTGAGGAACAGATGGAATTTCTTCAGGTCATCTAGTTACTGGCCTTGACTCATGAAAGGTCCATGACTAGCTCATTCCAAACAGATGGGTCTCTGAAAATAGAGAATGAAAGCCCACCATCTCTCTTGTCCCAAATGTTGGTTCTGTGGTCTTTAACAGCCTCCTGGACCTGTTCAAGCTCCTCTCGGAGTCAACTGAACTCTAGAATTATTCCTCACAATGAAACTCTTCCTCTTGACCACCAGTTTCCACCATTTTGCAGTTGCCTGTGGACAAAGCCTCAGGGTTCTTTAACTCATCTGTCTTTCAGAATCTGATCTTGGGGTGTCACTATAGGATAAGCACTGGACTGCTAACCATGAGATCAGCTGCTCAAACCTACCAGCTGCTCCTTGGAAACCCCGTATAGGATCACTATGAGTCAGAACTGACTCGATGGCAATTAACAACAACAACAAATATCTATAGATGTAGAGACCCTGTGGGCCAGTAGCTTAAACGTAAATGTGCATGGTGAAAAGCCAGGTCCATTGTTCATACGTAGATTCCAAAGCCCAGTCCCTAGAGATGCTGACCCTTAGCATAGAATGAATTGCTGATCTGGACCCAGGAGATCCTCAAGCTGGCGATCTGTGAACCTCACTTTGAAAGCATCCAGCCACTCGTTAGGTCTTATCCATTTGCCCTCAGAAGGGTCGTTCCAGTCTGTCACCTCCTTTTCATTTTCTCTACCATCACCCTCCTTACTTCTCATCTGGTCTTGCCACTTCTCCGCATAACAATCTTCACTGGCTCCTCAGTGCTTACAAATTAAACCCAACACAGCCTGCCATTTCTCACTGGTGTTTCAGTGATCAAATTCTCACTTTCCTTGCTGGAGACCCAGGTTCACTTCCCAGCCAATGCTCCTCAGGCTTAGCTGCCTTTAACTACCTCTTGACACCGTACTGTCAAGTTACTCTAGCATACCTTTCTGGCTTTAGTTCCCTCTACTCCTGGAGTGCTGGTATGGCGCTGTGGGTTAATGCGCCAGACTACAAAGTCAG